GAAATGGATAGATCACAGTATATATTTACATAGTTTCTGATAAATACCACTCACATAAACATCAAATTTATGCATTGCAGTTAGAAGGAAATCATGGGCGACTGAAGGGGCTTATACTGCGTGAGCAATTGTCAGTGTTATTGAGACACAAGGTAAGACACTTCAAATGTTGTTGTAGTTAACCTCTGATTCACATTTATATTTGAATTCATTTTTGAGTTTGAATAGCTTTGAATTATTGACTCATAGCTTGTTTTTTAAAATTAATTTGTAGAAATATTCAAAGATATTGCCAGTGATTGACTCCCGTGTGCAAAGCACAAAAGGGAGTCTTTGCAGTTACCCTGTCTGTATGTCTGTATGTATGTATGTATGTATGTATGTATGTCACTTTTTTTGTTCCACCGTTATCTCAAGAACCACTAATCAAATTTTGGTGAAACTTGGTACATAGATGCTCTGGGATAATGCGCAGAGTTGATTAAGTTTTGGTAAAAATCTATGAATATTAATTACCTAATTTGCATGATAATTAGCTGATTTTTAGCTGTTCCAATACTGTTCCACTGATATCTGAAGAACCACTCATTGGATTTTGATGAAACTTGGCACATGGATGCTCTGAACTAGTGCGCAGATTTGATTAGTTTTGGGTAAAAATCTATGAATATTAATTATCTAATTTGAATGATAATTAACTGATTTCAAGCTGTTCCATGACTGTTCCACTGATATTTGAAGAACCACTCATTGGATTTCAATGAAACTTGGCACATGGATGTTCTGAACTAATGTGCAGATTTGATTAGTTTTGGGTAAAAATCTTTTAATATTATTAATTACCTAATTTACATAATGATTAATCAATTTTCGGCTTTTCCACTGATATCTCAAGTACTAATCATAACATTTCAATAAAACTTGGTACATAGATGTCATATGACACTGCACAGACCTGATAGTGTTTAGGGTAATATCAGTACGTATTATTACCTAATTTGCATAATTAATTAATTTTCAGCTTTTGATATTTCGAGTAGTAATGATCACATTTCAATGAAACTTGGTACATAGTTACTTG